ATACATACGCTTTTAATGTGAAGGTGAATGACATAACATCCGGTATAACTGTGATTAACTCTTGGTAGCTTGCTTTGACTTTGCAGTTTGCGGTCGGCTAAATTGTATAGAAAACCTGATTTAAAGGGGCGGAAAGAGGTGCGGAGGTCAATCAGGACGAATGTGCTATATCGGGCGCTGATTGGTCAGCGCAGAGAACAGGTCGCTGCTGATTGGTCAATTGTGATATAATGAAATACCTGCCCCATTGCAAGCGTGATTAGAATTTGACATCAAGGGTTTGAGGACAGATTTAATTTAAGGTAAGGTATATTTTAGTTAATTTGGGGGGAAACGGAGAAAAATTAATCAGAGATAATAACCAGGTTTATTTGTGATAAAATTAGCCTACCTGTGATGAATGTAGGAGTGAAGTTCACCTGTATATGTTGCCTGCATTACACTGGTGTTTTTAAACATGAGAGTGTAGATCCTGTGATCATGTGATGTCCTATGAATACCACGAGAGAGGACAATAACTCTCTTAAACTTTGGCTACCAGTATGCCCCATGACACACGGCCCCTAAAAGCCCGGCATATTGGAGAAAATGTTACGCCCTGGCCCATGGAGAGAAATAAGAGGATGAGAAAAAAGATTAGAGTGCAAATGTGGTTAAGCATATTAGATAATAAAAACCCAAATCCATAGGTCTGTCTTACAAATCAGGATTATAAAGATATATGCCTTTGACACAGACTTTAACATTGTATAAGAGGACTCAACATAGACACCTGTCCTTTTAGACACCTTTGAGAGACAGGCACTCAGGCCAGCCTTCAGGAATTAAGGGGAAAAGGGCCAAATTTTCCAAATTAGGGCCCCTCATCCACACCCACTCCAGTACCTACTCATCAAATGGTTTCACCACAGTGAAATGGTTACTATGAGGACAAACATCATCACACAGGATTACAGCTGGGCTCATTAAAGAGTCTTACTTTTCCAGTCATACCTGATTCATGCCATTCCAAGGCTATTTAGGAACCCCAATATGCAGATATGTTCTGTGAGGTCTTTGGCCTTCAGACAACAATATCGTCAGTCACTAGGGATCCCATGTCTCAAGTTGGAATTGGACTGTATTTTCCATAAGAATGTTTAGTTTGATGTAAAACCAAGTGAAAACCTCCATCATGAGGTGTGGGTGACTTCAAACGCAACATGGGAGTGCATCTATTTCTTATCCCATTTTTCCCATCTCACTTGAATGCAGCACAATCATGTAGTAGGAACATCTCTGCTGTTTGCTTTGTAGTGACATCACCCTGTGTGATTCATCCGGATATTATGTTGATTTTGAGTTCATGAGGTCATCGCCTACATGTGTGGATTTCACAAAGAACAGTGTCACGACAGCTGTTTTCACCTCATGAGTCTTTGTGTGTGTGTGTGTGTGTGTGCCCCATCATAGCAAATTTGTGGTCCTGGTGACACCTATTTTAACTACCACAGAAGCCATTTTGAGTATTCTGATAGGTGTTTATGCGTCTGTCCGTCTGTCTGTGGACAGAGGTGAAGGGGCATTTGGCTGACTTACTATACACCTCTGGTCAGCATTCCCTTTAAGTCATAGATCGCTGTGTCCCACATCGAATGATCCCATCACAAGGTGGTTTCTTTTTGTAGTTTTTTTTTTGTCTAAGCTTTTGAATTAGCAGCTACGTCTGTCCATGTCTCCATGTTTACGTTCATATTAAACATGGGTGGCATAAATCTAAATTATCAGGCTATATAAAACAAAAAGGAGTCATGGTAGCTTTAGCAACATCAGCTTTTAGTTCCTAAACATGTATGTTTTCTTTATGGTGCACTATGTTTCTGTTATCTGTCACTTCTGAGTTATTATGCGCCCCACAATGACCTATATCAAGGCCGTATGGGGTCAGTATTGTGGGGACCAAATCTGGTCATAAGCAGCCAGGTGGAATCCATGCTGTGCATCATATATGTATACATATATATTTATATGTATACATATATATTTATATGTATACATATAAATATATATGTAGATGCCACCTCCCCCCAGTATTGTGAGTGATCTAATCTATTGCTCGTTGAGATGAAACCAAACCATGATGTCATACTTGCAGCCATGTAATCAACCAACACTGACATCACTTTTAACCCTTAATTATTTTGGCAGGAATTTGTTTAATGGGATTATAAAATGCCATAATAACTACATTCCCCCTGATATTACAGCATTTTATCAAACATATTAGGTCTATATATATTTTCATATGCTAAAATTAAATGGCAACATGCATGTATTTGATGGTGTAGTAGCATTGCTCCATTGTTAAAGGAGAGCTTGAGTACATCCAGGCTGAATAGAGGCTGGTGTGCTGCACTGTGTAGTGCTGTGGGCCCGTGTGGTATGGATGTATACATCATGGTGCAGAGTGCCTTCATCACTTCCTCCAGCGTCACAGCAAAAAACATGTCAGTAGCACACAGCAGGAGGAGGAGGAGGAGGAGGAGGGGGACCACATGAAGATGATCTGTCCTTTCTTTTCACCTATTATATGTTGAAATTATTTTCTTCAATTATGTTTCGTTATTGTTATCAGTACAGTGTATCTGCTTCAACATTATCATTGTTATCATTATTGTTATAATAGTTTTAAATATAATTTTTATTTATTTATTTTAATCAAAATGTGTGTCACTGCCAGTGCGCCACTTCCGGCTCAGTGACTGGTCTGGGATCGGTTTTTGTTATAAATCTCTGGTCTTCCAGCCTTGAAGTTAGACCGAAGAAACCGATTCCAGATCAGCTGTTTGGGTTTGACTCCTCTCATCTGCGCCAATCAGAACCGTGTGCCAGTTGTCAAGTTCCACAGAGTTAGAGTGAAACATACAGGAAGTTCAACTCTGTCTTCGATATAAAAGTCTTACAGGGATGAAACGTTAAATATAAATGAACTCGGTCAGAACAATATTATTATATTATTTATATTTATTTCAAAGCAAGACATAATTTTCATACAGCCACTGCTACTCAACTCTTGTCTGTGTTTAAGTATAATTATTATAAGGCAACTTTGGGCTATAAATGACAGAAATAAGGCTGCTTGGTCAAAGCCTATCAAATTATCGTCCTATATTTAATTAACTGTATACTCTTTGTACTTTTCCTGTTGCTATCAATGCAATGAAGCAGACTTTTTTTAAAATACATTTTTGTTTAGCCTGCACAACTGTCAATCTGTTCTCATTTAAAACTTGCATTCACCTCAGATTAAAAATATACTCTGATGTGAGAAAAACATCAAATTATTCCCCGAATTAAGTTGAACTTGATAGTATAATGAATTTACTATCAAGTTCAACTTAATTCGGGGAATAATTTGAATTCATTAGATGTAATCAATGTGTTCACTTTTTTTTTTTTTTTTTTTAACTTTATGTCACGAGTTAAAAATTCAAATAGCCATCATCAAATTTGGCTAAAGCTTTCATTTACTCACACAGAAATGAATGAAAATGTGATCTTTTTTTATATGTGGACACATTGATCTTTTTTTTTTTTTTTTTTTAACTTTATGTCACGAGTTAAAAATTCAAATAGCCATCATCAAATTTGGCTAAAGCTTTCATTTACTCACACAGAAATGAATGAAAATGTGATCTTTTTTTATATGTGGACACATTGATCTTTGAAATATAGGCACCCTTCACATCTGAGTTTATTTATACACCCTTAATAGCTTTAAAAAAAATATGAAATAGTTCTCTAAACAAGGCCATGCTTCTATAATTTTCTTTGACACACAGCTAAACAGAACTGTATAAATAATGCACAATAAAATGGATTATTTCAAAACAAGACATAATTTATATACAGTCACTCTTTCTCAACTCTTGTCTGTGTTTAAGCACAATTGTTATTAGGCTACTTTGGGCTATAAATGACAGAAATAAGTCTGCTTGGTCATAGCCTAGAGAAATGTTGTCTTACATTTAATTTATTGTATATTATATGTAATTTTTCAGTTGCTATTAACACAGTAAATCCCTTTTTTAATACATTTTTATTTAGCCTTTATTATTGTCAGTCTGTACATATTTAAAACTTGCAATCACCTCAGATTCCCCAAATTAAGTTGAACTTAATAAGGAATTCATTGATGTAATCAGTGTGTTTACAATTGTATTTCAAATAGCCATCATCAGATCTGGCAAAAGTCTTCATTTCTTCACACACAAATTAAGGAAAAAGTGACCCTTTTAGGCATGCTTTATGTCTGAGTTTATAAAATACACCTTTAAAAAATATGAACCTGTTGATTAAACATGGCCATGCTTCTATAATTTTCTTTCAAGCACAGCTTAACACAAGTGTATGCATAGTGCACATATAAAATGATTGATTATTTCAAAGCCAGACATAATTTTTACACAGTCACTCTTTCTCAACTCTTGTCTGTGTTTAAGTACATAAATCGGCTTGGTCATAGCCTATTGAACTGTAATCGTACATTTATTTTCTTGTAAATTATATGTACTTTTTCAGTTGCTATTAACACAATAAATCACTTTTTTTCAACAAAAAAAACCAAACATTTTATTTAGCCTGTATACTTGTCAGTCTATTCTTATTTAAAACTTGCAATCACTTCAGACTAAAGATACACTCTGGTCTTGTAAGAAAAACATGAAATTATTCCCCACATAAAGCTGAACTTAGACTAAGTTCATTCGATGCAATCAATGTGTGGACAAATTGATCTTTAAAATATGGGCATGCTTTACATCTGGGTTTATAAAATACACCTTTAATAGCTTTAAAAAAAAGTTATTTGTTAAGTAAACAAGTCTAAGCTTCTATTATCTTCTTTAAAGTACAGCTAAACACAAGTGTATGCATAGTGCGCATATAAAATCGATGTTTAGGCTGAGAAGCTTTTATTGTGAAATTCCCGGAAGTCCTTAGTACTACTCTCGCGAGCTTGACTCCGCGCTGTTTCATTATGGTAGTCGTCCCAACAAGCGGCTCGTAGAGCAGGAATCCAGACGGGATTATCAACAGCAGACACCGCCGAGCTACGGAGCGATATTTCTGCCGTTAGTCCGCCTCTAACCTCCGGTCCACATCGACATTTCCCTCCGGACGGACGTTAGCAGAGAGGTAAGCCGTCGACTCAGCCTCTGCAGCCCGCTTGTCATTGACAGCTCGCGTTATTAACAGTAACCCGGATTTTTTTTTATTGGACAGGAGAAATACGGGATTCGGAAACGCTTACGTTACATTTTTTGCTTTTAGTTAGCCTTTGTTTAAATATTATTTAACTATACGTAGTTGTAAAAAAAATAAATTCATGGTTGAATGAGGCCTGTGATTATTGCGAAGCCTGATAGTCCCGGTTGAGCTGTTGCAGGTCGATGACATCCACTGGAGGTTATGGCTTATCGCCCCGCTAGCGGTGATTTTCTGTGGCTACTAGCCTCGCGGCCGCCGTATAGGCAGCAGGCAGGCCCGGGCTGCCTTCAGAGGAGGCTCTCCGTCCGTAAATGCGACAAAATCAGCGCATAATGTGTCTTATTGTAAAACGGTGGTGTTAACATCGACCATGCTGCCGTTCCTGCGATTTAAATACAAGTTAGCTGCTGTGACGTCAAATGTGTCGGTGTTGCTGTGTTATATTTTAATATAGTGTCCCTTTAATATTCTTACACACTTCCACAGGGACCTTTACATGGCAACCGGCTGCTCGGCCCTCCTACCCTCTCCCGGTACCGTGCAGCTGCAGCATCCGTCATCTCAGCCTCCACACTAACGGGATGACGAAGGGAACCGAGCCTCCGCACGTAGGCTACCGGCACGGCGAGGCGACGTTCATGGACTGCAGGAATTTCTAAAACCTCGGTGGCAGCGCAGCAGAAATATAAAGTGACTTAAATTTTCATTGTTGAGACTTATCCATCTTTGTGCCACTGGAGCTGGTGGGAACTTGGAGGCTACTTTAGAGGAATCAAGGACTCTAATGAACCAATAAGAACAGTCTTATCAAGTAGAAATTATATTTATTCAATATTTGTGTAATAACCTGAGATCTGCTGCAGTCTTCATCAAGGAGCAGATGTAATCAGAGTTGCAGTATTGTACAAAATATAAGATATACTATCAGGTCATTAGGTCACACATACAACCCACAGAAGACACTGATCATTCTGGCATCATGATGGTGGAAGCCACCATCACCTCGAGTCTCAGGACTACTGCAGTCTAACAGACATTTTGGTTCCCCTGTGGGAAAGAACGGAGCAACTGGTGGTGGTCCTCCAGCAACATGGACTACCACGCTGAGTGCTGTTTCTGTGATCCTGAGGAGGGTCACGGTGACGAGCCGCCGCTTCACAGTATCCACGCGCCCAATCGGATCCGCCCGTCCTCCTACAGAGCCCTGAGGAGCGCTGTGTCCAGTCTGGCCCGCATCGATGACTTCTTCTGTGAGAAGATAGGTTCGGGCTTCTTCTCGGAGGTCTTCAAGGTATGTGAGCTGTCTGCTGATAAAACAAAAGCTTCTCAGTGCATCTCAGTCCAGTCCAGTCCAGTAATGAGCCCCTTTCTATAGTTCACCTGCTAGAATATATGCTATGTTTACTTTCGTCTGCAGCATCCTGTTCACCTGTCCATTTATCAAATCAACATTTGACATGCATGAAGGAAAATAACACCACAACGTTTAGAAAAGCAATACTTGAATCATACATGATTAAGAGACATTATTTGAACCTTACTTGTCAAGTTTATTTCTTCATATCTATCTTTATTATTAAATATCGGGTACCAGCTATTAACAGATCCACATGAAATACAGTTTCTCTGACAGTGTGATGTTAACATTCAGCCACAGAGGACTGCTGACACATTTCTAATGTCACAGCTGTCCGTAGCCTGACGTTACCTTATTTAAAAATGATATCAATGAGCTCCACACTCTTACACATTGTACATTTGGGGGAGAAAGGAGCACTGATGTGTGATTGGTACTCTGTATCAGCAGAGTGTCAATATCAGTTCATCCCCATGGCCAACACAAACTCAACCCCAAAGATTTTCAGTTCACAATGATAAACACATGAGAAAAACAGCACACAAGCTGCAACCAGAGACTGTTTGTAATTCTTGCTTTATAAATGACAGTAAAGCCACACTATGCAGGATTCTCCCAAGAGTCAATGTATAGACACATACAAAAGTAGTCTCTCTCAATCATCACTTATGACCCATTAGAAATGTTTGGCGGTGTGTTTTGGTGCAGATACTCTGTCCTCTGCCCGTATTTTCTTATTTTTGTCCTATTTTCTGTGCTTGGGACATTAAAGGGTGTGTATCCCCACTGCACTCAGGTGAGGTCAGGGCTTCATAAAAAGGAAGTGACCCGGTGCCAGACCATAAGCAGCACACATGCACAAGACGCAGTGCCAAAATAGAATGCAAAAACAGCGAGGCGAAATGCCAAGCAAGAATAAATCTCACGTTGGCTTTCACTTTCGCTGGTAAGGGTATTTTCAGAAAGTAATCGACAGTCCTTCATAGTACGTTTAACATGTGGCAAAAAAGTCAAACCTGACTCACTGTTTGCCGCAATGCAATACAAAGTCATTGCCTATGTACTGCATCAGCCATTCCATTTACATGATCAGTCCCTTATGGAATTACTCGGACAGATTAATAAACAACAAACCAAAAATTCTTGTGCATTTTACCCAGCAGCATCTAACAGCACAATATACTGGCCTGCCTTGAACAGTCAGCTTTAAATGTCCCTGGAGATATCCAGCTCTGGAATTTAAATACAGTTCACAATATTCTCAGATCCTCTCATTTTCATTCAACATCCATAAGAACTGTAAATGTTGCTGCAATAACTTGCCAGAGTTGTAAAATCATTCCTCTGAGCATGATAGGCTGAAGCAGCATTTTGGCATCCGATACACCTTCACAGATAAATGATAACTGCAAGCATGTAGCAACTATTTGACAAACAGCCATGAATGTCCATGTCTCCCTCAGAATAAGTGTTATGACTTTTCCCCTCTAGAATCACCATCAGGCCAACATTTTAACTTGCCGATCACAACCAAATATCTGCAAAACTACATTCCCATCAGCCTCAGCTGTACTTTGTGTTTACTGCCAATTAGCAAATGTCCGCATGCTAGTTTTGGTCTTGTTTTCAATGTAGAAAAAAGGTCTTCAACGGAAAGTTTTGTCATACAGGGTGTCTACAGGTCCTTAAAAAGTCTCAAATGTCTTAAATGATTTTTTCTTTATATAAGGTCTTAAAAAGTCTTAATTTGTCTTATATTCAGATTCGGTCTTATATTTCTGATCACATTACTGCGAAAATTTCTCCAGCCTGACAGACCCAGTGACTGTTTACAATCATTGGACAGACCGAAGAGTTGCGATAATAAATAGCAGTTATGACAGCTTAACTTAAACTCACCCAATCGTTATCATTTTTCCTTACCATTCACTTTGAACTGACATCAGTGTGTTTACTTTAAATTTAACTTGGTTATATCTTACACCCTGTCATAGTTTTAGTTGACAAAATTTCCATTGAATTTAAGTCAAGATAATACAAAAAAGAATATACCAGGGCATATTGTGCAGCTGTTTAATACCATCTGCAAAATATATCAGATCCTTCAGATTTTTATATCAAAATTCAAACATGTTTTCTTTCTGTAAAACAAAATATGACATGTGCTTACAGAAGCTATTACCAGCCAATTTTAGCCAAAAATACTGTGACATCCACCCATCAATCAATCTGCAACTTTTAGCCACACAGAGCTAAAATTAAGTTAGCTAGTTAGCAACAGCATGCTATGTCGGTGTGTCTTCGTTTCCCCAAAATACCGTGGTTACAGCCCTCTGACTAGAATTAATTCACTTTGAGGAGAGTGGTATCTGTGGCAGCTCCACATTATGCACAAGGCATTCTACAGTGGACTGCTTCAGCAACCAAGACTACAAGGAGCATACGATGGACTACGTCTCTCGTACCGTGACTGATACTACAATCCTACTATATCCTAAATTCCTCCCAGTGTTATATCCCGCCTTTCTATCCTGTCTCACTCATATATAATACTGAAGCTAGATACTCTCAAAATGTTAGATACTCGCTCTGTGCAACAGCACTATGGCGATGAATCCAAGTGATGCATAAAGCACAAGTCAGATTGAGCATAACATGATTTACACAGCAGCATAAAGATGTGATTCCCAGTGGGTCCTGACTGAAGCTTCGCTAATGCATTGCGCTAATGTTTAAGTCATTAGTTGTTGCATTAAAGGCCTGTTTGTAATTCATGCACATACATTTGTGCGTGTCTTCATTTGTGCATATTTGTCGTGTGTTGCACAGACAGCGTGTGGGTGTGTGTATGTCAGGTGACGGGCTGACTGGAGGACAGATCCCACTGTCCAGACTAAGTAGATTACTCTCACACCACCTGTGTGTGTGTGTGAGAGTGTGTAGACATCCTACTTTTTTCTCTTAGGTAGTCTTTATGTACATGTGTAAATGATCGCCTCCTGCCCACCAAATCAAGAGTCCACACAGCATCCACATGCATCAGTCATGACCATGTACAGTAAAGGCATGTAAAGTAGTTGTTGGAGTATTTGCTCAGGGTGAGGGTTTATACAGAGTGGATTCCAGCGCACATTCCTCCGCTCTTATCTGAAATAGCCAAAGCCTTACACACTCACTCCCAGAAACAGAGTCATCGAAAACCAGGGGAGTGGCACCTGGTATAGATGAGGACTGTTTATGGCTTGAAGTAGTTTGATGACCATCTTTTATAAAACTTAATACTTAAAGTTACTCAGTGCTTCGTATGATTTAAATGATATAAATACCTCTGGTAACATCCAGTGGTTTAATGCCCAAGTGCTGCAAAGGATGACGTTTTATGTCTTTTATTTTTCTATGTAGATCTGTCCACAAACCACAAACTAGGGTTGCAACAGTATGGTACAATAACAGTCTTAGAAAACACACAGTTTTACAGTGTTGCGGAATAATTATTATCAGTCAGAATGACATTTAAAGGAATGAAAACAGAGGGGTTTTTTTTGGTTGAACAAACATTTTGTTACTATAATTGAAACTTCAAACCATTTTTTAATGTAAGTATGTGTAAAAAGTCTTCCTTTGAACATAACTAAAATAAAGGTGAGATTCTCCACCCAGTTTCTTCTTCTTCCATTATCGTCGGCAAGCAAACCCACGGTATGATAGCCGTCAACTTTTTTGAAACCGGTATATCGCTGCAACTCTACAGCAAACCAATCCGACTATTTCAAGGACACTAACAATATCACAAGGCTCAACAATAATGATTGCAAGGGGCAAATAAAATGTCATGTTGGGCGAGTAAATCTAGCAACACACTGCTGGCACCTACCTGTTATTTTCCTGGAGCTGATGATGGAAGTAGCTAAGCAGTGAGCCATCTCACTTCTTTCTTATTTATTTTGAAAGTTGTACATGTGCAGTACTGCTCTTGGGTACTCGAGAGAAAATGTGGGTAAAGTTTATGAACTGAAGCACAAGCGAGCATTTCATTTATCCTGGGAACAGGAATTAAGTAGGGTAAAACTCTTAACTATGTATTGTGCAGTTTGCTGCAAGTTTGCGAGCAAGGCGAATTAAATGGGGACATTTTTCAAAGTATGTCTTCATTGTCTTTACTGTTATTTGATAACCGCTAATAAATAAAACAGTTTGTTTTAGGGGCAAGTTAAATTGACTTTGGGCAAGTAGATTTCTGACTTACTTGCCCAACCAGGCAAGTGTAAAAACATCATTAACATTGAATCCTGAATTGTCCTCATTCTGTTTATTCTGTGCACACTTAAAGTGAAACTGATGGTGATCTTCTCAGCTGTGTGGCTAAGATAGAAAACGGTTCATTTCAACCACAGGGGGGCAGCTGTTACTTTAAAATGGCTAGTTAAATCAACCTAGAAACTAACAGTGGTGCCAGTACAGTACAGAAGTAATTCAACTAGAAGTGCGTGGCAGTATATTCACCTGCAGAGACTCCGCCCTCTGTCTGTATTTTCCTATTTCCCTCTTACATTGCTATGTTTGGGACATTGGATGAATCAGAATCAGAAGTTTATTAGATTTATTACTATTACTGTTAAACTCAGCCTGCTGTTTTCCTGTTAACTCTGTTGTGTTGGCGTGCGTACCTCCTGTCTGCTGCTGGGCCAGGTCTCAGTAATGGCCCATTGGATTTGTGCAGATCAGGAGAGTTGATGGGAAATCCAGAAAGCCTATTAGTGCTACGCTATTAATATACACGCACACACACACACACACACACGCACATACACACACACGTACACAGAGATGCATGCACTTGCAGGTCCAGCCAGACACTGTCTGAACTTTGCAGGCACAAATTACCAGTCAATGACCAGTCTGGTCACACACATGACCACAGACCCACTGTACCTGCAGCTTCACATGTTCAGCACATGTTCATGAAGTGTGACACTGGGATTCTCTGCTGTACAGTGTAAAGGTCAAACCCAAGTGAAAACTAGCCAGATGATTTTAGACTTGGAAAATAATCTGAAAAAACAAAACAAAAAACAGCTTAACTACAAATTAAAATGATTAAATATAACATTTCTGCATCAGCATGTCTAAATGACTCAACCTTATGTCATTTATTTTTTAATTTGTATACTTATATTTTCCCAAAGGTCTGCACTAATATTAAAACCCAGAGAAATCTGTAATTTGATATGAGGTAACGGTGTGTTTCATTTGGCAGGGTGCTAGACTGCGACCAAAATTGTCCCATATTTTTTGTTAAAGTGCCTGTCAAAATTTCACGTGGTCGCATTTTTGCAGTGGCACGATGCAGACTGAAGTCTCTAACTCTGACAAAGAGACAGCTGTGGCAGGTCCGCGTTATATCTCTGGTGTTTGTAATGTCTGTATGGTCACTGCGCTGCATTTTTTTAATCATCTGGTTAAATTTCTCGCTCTGACCAGGCGCCGTTTCATGCACCTTGCAGTCCCTCTGTCTCACTCCCCACAGCTAGGGACTGCTCTGCTGGAAGGACAGCAGGGAGCAGCCCCAGTGGCGGGGGATACGCCGGTGGCCAGTGGCAGCACTGGGTCTAAATTGTGCATCAGAAAGTTTGCTGATGCAGTTGGGAGTCGAGGCAGCCCAGGATCAGACACCTTGTGCTGGGGTTTGAAGGAAAAAAAAGACACAAACTGCGACTCCAGCCTGATGCGTCTGTTTGATAATTAAGGACAAGCTTGAATAAATGTCAGCTAACTGTGTGGGGACCCAGTGTTGCGTATACATTAGCTCTTTGTGTGTTTTTATCTTTGCTGTGCCACTTAGTTAGCATTAGCTAACTCTGTCCAATGACTGTATTTTGCTGTGTTCACGAGATGAAGCAAGACACCTCCATATCTCTCAGTGTTTACAGTGCTTCCCAACTGTAAACCCTCTCTGGTTGTTTGTTACAGGTGCAGCATCGGATCACAGGGCAGGTGATGGCACTGAAAATGAACACGCTGGCTAGCAACAAAGCTAACATGCTCCGAGAAGTGCAGCTCATGAACCGGCTTTGCCACCCCAACATACTCAGGTAGGTAAAAACGTACATCTGAAAACACATTTCCAGTGTGGTATCGAAGCCTTAATGTTGTCAGGTGAGATTAGATCACTATAATGAGCGTTAATCGTCCTTTTACTAAAACCTCTGATCAGGTTCAATCACTGTTTTTCTCAGCAATTGGTAAACGGTGAAACAAATACTGCTAATACACCTATTAGTCTGGTTTTAAGGGGACATGTGCATTGTACTGTGTAATGTTCCTTTAAAGGCAGGTACACACATTACAATTGTCTTGCCAGTTATAATTAAGATTTGAGCATTACAATAGATCAAACTTTAGTTTGGAGTGTGTCAACTTTGGGTGTTAGATTATTCAAACTGTTTACTTTCTGATCCAGACGCATCAGATTTTTTCAAACGTTTAATTTTCTACAACTAGATCCAAGGCCGTTGACATCACGTGTGATGATGAGAAATAATAGTTCAAATATAACCCTAAAACATTTCAGCTGAAGTTGCGCCTCCAGGGCTCTCTGAGAAGTTCTCAGTACCCAACCTCTCCATCCACCAACACATTGAAATGTAGCATTTTTGTTGTTTCTTTACCTTTCTGTAGGGCTGTAGTACTCAAGTTGGGTCTCGTTCTGCGAGCACTTCCTCTTCCCTGTATGTTTTTAATCCAGCTGAGAACATACAGCACTCAGCTGTTCAGACAAAGAAGTGTCTCAGCAGCTGGTGAGGCAATGCTGTGAGTGAATGATAAACTTGGATGTGGCTCCTGATGAGCTCTTCTTAAAAATATCCCATCACTCAGTTTGCACCATGGCAGTATCAGATGACTTTGTCATTACTACTAAGAAACACAGGGGGTCGCCAGAGTCAACATATTTCACCATAGGGGGCTTTGAAATGCGTGATGAGATAATGGGAGTGCAGAGAAAGGTATTTCAAATCATATTTCTTCTGCTCTCTTCAGGTTTCTTGGGGTTTGTGTGCACGAAGGTCAACTCCACGCTCTGACTGAGGTAAAACTTTTACTCGAATCTTTCTTCTTTTTAAACTGTCAGATTTCTTCAGTTTCTTGAAACGTCTGTAGTATGTAATAGATAAAATAAGTGAAACTCCACATATCAAAAATTAGTCTTAAACCCACCAGTACCATTGGGGAGGTATCCATGGCAACATTATAAACTCTGTTTGTATCTTGCAGATGGTCATAAATGATCCATGTGTTGGTTGTCTCTTTCGGCACACGTTACATGTCAATATCTGTCAGGAAGATTTATTGAAGGCATGTATTTGTTTCTCTCTGCAGTATATAAACGGAGGCAACCTGGAGCAGCTGTTGGACAGCGACCTGTACCTGTCGTGGTGCGTCAGGATTGGTCTGTCTCTGGATATCGCCCGAGGGCTGCAGTACCTGCACAACAAGGGCATATTCCACAGAGACCTCACCTCCAAGGTACAGCATACAGGTTGATTCAATAAATAGAAAGTGAGGCGCTCTGCTATGTTGTTATTAAAGCAACATTACACAGATTTTTCACCCTAAAACAAAGTTTCAACATCATTTAGATCGTACAACAGAGTATTAGGGCCACATTGAGAAAAAAATAAATCTGAGATTTTGAGGAAAAAAGTCTTAATTTCAAGAAAAAAAATCATAATGGGCCTATTCAGCTATTCTGCTAACTAAGTCTAAAAATAACTTTCAAAAGTTGCTTTACACTTGACTTGAACCCCAGCCATGGTTTATGCATGTGAATATCTCGTGCATAAACCATACTTCCCCCACGTCTTCTCTCTGATGCAGACTTTGTCGCTCCTCTGCACAAAAAACTCACTAACAGCCGCTAACATCTGTCTTTTTAATGTCATGGGAAATCTACATATACACCCGGGTCAAATGACACTGCAGTAGTCCTGGGTATTCATCAGCTGCAGCTGTGATCGGCATTGATGGAAACACAACACCCAGGTCAATGCGGTAATTTTAGCCCCTTAACCGGCAAGGTGCAATGATGCGCCACCACAAAATACGGCCTGTCTCCGCCCAAGCAGCGCTCAAACATTGTTACAAATCAGTCTGCACTGAGTGAAAGAGTGACTGAATAAGTAAGAGATATATATATGAAGAAGTAACCACCGTTTTTAGTGTGTCATGTTGAATGCAACACAGAAAGGCATACTCGTCTGCTGCAGAGCTCTACTGGCAATGGGAAAGTAGTCTAGTGCCAATTTTTAGCAGGTTTTCCCGTGTTTAGAAAACTCACGTACACGTGTTAATTTCAGTGGAAAAGGGTTATAACTTTAGTGAGTGAGTAGCATCTCCCGGGAGAAGAGCGTAACACTTTACAGCTAATGCCATCTTGTAAAAAGCCTCAGGTTATTGATGGAAAGTTTACAACTGTAGCCTGAACAGGTCAGAACAGAGAGCTCATCTTACAGAATGATTTATTTCATCACAGCCTGGACAAATAAAACCAAAACTATCTGCATGGCTTGACTAGAGTTCAGTGAGAAAATGTTTTTTTTGTACTTTGAGGTGATTTATAAAATTTTACAAATACTTGTTTGTAGATCTCACCTACTGACTCTTTTTCCTGTACAGAACTGTTTGGTTCGCTGTGATAACGGCGTGTTCACGGCTGTAGTGGGAGACTTCGGCCTGGCAGAGAAGATCCCCGATTACAGGTCAGTGGGGTGAAATCCAGAATCTTGATGCCTTTTCCTCTGCTGTAGTCGAAAAAGCAAACAGATCTGTATCCACTGAGGAGCCAGTATAAATATGTGTCAGTACAGGAGGTTATTTATGCTTGGTGTCAAAGGTCTGTGCCATCTCAGTGTGTCTTTTGTGCCTAATGTATCGATGAATTACTCCTTGTGCAGAACCAGGTCTCTATATGACACCGGAGATGAGTACACTCTATCATTAGTTGGGGATAGAGCTTTATTTATTTTTATAATTCTTTAATTTATGAAAGAATTATTGGCACAGAGGTGTTGCTAAAATTTTGTTTCCTGCATGGGAAAAAATCAATATAATATGGCCAAACACAACAACAAAGCCTGACAACAAAATTAAGCATGGGCAGGGCTGTTGCTTTTATTGCATTACATTATTCAGTGCAGTCTAAATTTACATCATAGACTGTCTCTATAATATACAAAACATCATATATAAAAATTCTATTCTATACAAATAAACTGTAACAATAACTCACAGCAAATTCTGACTATAGTAGTGATTCAGAGTGAGCACCTGATTTCATGGAAGACCTCTCTTTCTTTGCAGTGACGGTGTGGTGAAGCAGCCTCTGGCCATCGTGGGCTCCCCCTACTGGATGGCCCCTGAAGTTCTGAGAGGAGAGCTGTACGATGAGAAGGTCTCTCCACAGGATCTTTGGTTTCAAACACACTCAAGATGATTATTCAGGAGTAAAACAGGCCGCAATTTAATCCCTATTATTGGTGGGGGGTGAGGGAGCCCTCCTGTGCGGAGTTTGCATGTTCTTCTCTCCATGTCAGCGTGGGCTTGCTCCGGATACTCTGGCTTCCTTCCACAGTCCAAAGACATGCAGTGACTCTAAATTGCCCATAGGTTTGAATGTGTGTGAATGGTTGTCTGTCTCTATGTGTCAACCCTGTGATAGTCAGACGACCTGTCCAGAGTGTACCCTGCCTCTCGCCCAATGTCAGCTGGGATAGGCTCCAGCCCCCCCATGACTCTCAAGAAGATAAGTGGTTATGGAGAATGAATGAATGAATTAAGTCATGACACTGAAAATCTTTTAGATAACACTGAGCTATGCTTTCTGTATTTCAAAACGACAAATTCTTGGCAGTGCTCCTCTCTCCAACTGGCTTTTCAACCGTTGTTTATCCTGCAACACATCACCTCTTGCGACATTTCAGAACAAGACTTGGACCAATTTCAAAAATTGTTGAGTAAGTTAGACACAAAAAACATAGGAAATATGGTCCAGGTTTAAAAACACACATTTCTTTTAAGATTGAGAGGTCCGTGCTTATACGTTAAGCGACATAACTCCTCCCGCCTCGTCCTTCTTGCGGATCTCAAGTAACAATGATTGGATGTCGTTAGAAATTATCACCCAACTCTAGTCTATACAAAGTGTATTGTTGGGTGTTAGCATACCGACAGTGAGCTTGGGTGAGCCTTGAGGCAACATGAGGCACTAAAACGAATTCAGGGAGTGCTGAATCTGAAATAAATTAAACCTTTCTAATAATTTTCAGATGTTTTATGACAGAGCATTAACACAAATATCAAAGACGTATTTGTGAAATCTTGGTTGAGCCCTAACCTAACCTATATGTGCATTCTCAGAGAACTAACCTAAATTCCTCTCCTCTGTTCAGGTGGACGTGTTTGCGTACGGCATCATCCTGTGTGAGATCATCGCCCGGATTGAAGCTGATCCTGACTTCTTACCCAGGACAGAGGTACCCTTCACACCTATAATTCAGTCTGGTTGTGTAGTAAAGGAGAGACATGTCTCTCTCTCACGGACAGAAACATGTTGATACTTTTATATTTTATTGTGGGAAGAATAATGTCTTATGTCAGTGTTCCAAAATGCTTGTTAGGAGAAAAAAGCATTTCAATAGAGAGCCATGGATGCTAGTTGCAGATGTTGATCCAGGTAAAACTAGTCGTCAGTCCGCAGAGAGAGGACCTGATAGTTCTTCACCATAGGGATGCGTGTCTGTATGTGTAAATGACTGTGTAATTTTAATGGTAATTTTGTAACCTGTATTAGCAGCCGTTATGATTATTCATACTTGATGTGATGTGATTTTACTTAATATTTGCAGCAGCACTACAAGACATGGAGTAATTAACACATTACACTGAAACACTTGTGTATGTACGTGTGTGCAGGACTTTGGTCTGGATGTGGAAGCATTTGAGAACATGGTTGGGGATTGTCCCGCTGCGTTCTTTAGCCTGGCTGTGACCTGCTGTAACGTAAGTCCACGCACATACACCGTCTCATTTGTCATCATGATAACCCATTATTGCAAAATATGTTTTCAGTTTCATTTTTGCTTGTCTGACATCACCATGGACTGCGTGACCTCTCTGAGACAGTGTGTCTTTGTTGAGAACGTGTTATTAAGTTCTCTAAATGAAGGATTTATTGAGGTTTAGATTCTTGGCCATCGGCGTCGGTCTTTGTGTTGATCTTTTGTCCTCGTGTTGTTTACAGATGATTGCAGAGAGGCGTCCCTCGTTCTCTGAAATTGTCTTCATACTGGAGGGCATGGAGAGGGATGAAGAGAGAGAGAAGCCCATTGCACTCGGTAAGAAAAAAAAAACATTTTTCATGTCTTCATTAAATGTAAAATACATGCATTTACAGCACTGTTGATTAGGCATGTCACAACACCAGGAATTTAGTAGTCCATACCAATACCAGTGAAATTCCACGATTCTCAAAACCCACTTTGAAGCCACAGTAAAAACCAAAAACAAAACAATGAATCCCATGTACTTCAACACTGTCTTTATGTTTTGTCATAATCCCTGCCTCAAATGCAAAGCACTATTCTGAAACAGATATTCATATATAAACTACAATACATTGACATATTTCTCCTCAACTGTTGTCATTACTTAGCACTTGTACATGTACAATGTGACGATTGGTCGGTATATACTGCTCTGTCATATCCAGAGGAACTGCAACCCCAGTAGGGCTGTACAATGAATTGAAACTTTATCAAAATCACAATATGACCAAGTGCAATTTCCAAATAGCAGGAGCTGCAGTTTTTTTTTTAATAAAAGATAAAATGTATCCCAACACACCATTATTGATAAACTATCATGGTGCTACAGAGACACTCCAGCCTACAAATCATATTCCGGACCTAAGGGAACATGTTTGTGTGCAAAAATTACATCATCATTTTTATGTTTTTCAGCCAAAACTAAATGATCATTTCCACATTTCCACTCATATCGCAACTACAATATCCGTCAAAATAATAGCAATATAATTTTGTTTTTGCATGTGGTGCAGCCCTAATTCCCAGTACCTACGGTTCTGGAGAAAAATGAGCACTGTCACTTGTATCAGAGTATCGGTTCTTGTGACATCCTACAAGCTTACATGAGTTTTTTTCCCCCTAAATACTCTGATCTGTCCCCTGTCTCTGAGCGTAGTAAGTGTTGTGCTGGAGGATGGGGCGAGGGAAATGCATCATGGATATAACAACAGCATAGATGGCCAACACTCTGATTAGCCAGAGGGTGTGCATTATTTTCAAAAAAACGTGTTAGTCAATGCAGGGATCCTCTTCAAGACATAATCTCAAGATCAGGTTATAAAGCAGGACCCATTTATGACCCCATTGTGCTTTAGTGATACACATTTCCAAACAGACTTTCATTAAAACTAACACAAACCATTTGACACACAGTAGTTGCTCATCTTGCCCAGTTGGACATCCAGCCTTGGCCACAGCGCCTGACACATGATGAAATCACATGACTGCCACATACAGGTTTCCTCTTTTAGGTTTTCCCCTGGAGAGTTAGCTTACTTCAAGGCTGACTCATGCCCAGACAAGAGATGAATGAAAAAGAAAGTAGAATTTTGGTAGAACTCCCAGGAAATACCAGGATGTCATGCCCTGGGAGTTCTACCAAAAAATCTACTTTTGTTTTACCGGTAAAAAATACCTGAAGGAACCGGGAAATTTTTAGCACATCATTTACTAAGACAACTTCCCTAAACCAAGCACACAGTTCAACCACACAGTCTATGGCTAATCTTCCCCCCCTCTCACATGTCTTTGTTCTTCTTTTCCTTACTCAGAGCCAGTGGCGGTAGACGTCAGCCCATACCGGCGCTGCAGCTCTCCCTGTCACCCTGGTGACCGCAGCCAGCAGCGGCAAGGCTTGGCAAGGAGCCAGTCGGACATGTTACCCCCAGCAACCCTGACCCCACCTCTTCTCGGGACCCCTGCGCGGGTCAACCCCTTCTCTCTCAGACAGGATCTGAATGGGGGGCGGTGTAAACTCTTAGACACGCCGAGCAAGTCCGTCATCTCCCTGACCTTAACCCTCCCGGCGCTGCGGGACCCGTGTTCCTCCCCCCACATTCTCCGAGGGATGCCTGGAACGCGAACGCTGCCAAGGAGATGCCGGTCACTCCCCTGTACTCCAGAGCTCAGCCGGACTGTAGCCTTGTCAAGAGACACAGAAGGGAAGGAGGACGAAAAAGAGGAGGATGTCAGAGCGGTGATTAGGAGAGGTATAGGGGAGGTTGTGGAGGACGAGATGAGGAAGAACACAGGGTTGTCAGAGAGGGCAGATGAAAGGTTGCAGGTAGAGCAAATGGAGATAACTGAGAAGAGAGAGTTGTTGAAGGAGGAAGATCAAATGGGAGACGATTCAGGTCTTCCTGTGGAGCTGGAGATGGTGTCACTGGAGCGGTTAGAGGAGGAGGAAGAGGAGGAGGAGGATGAGAGTGTGTGTCTAACAGAACCCATGGACTGCACCAAGTCTCCTGAGCCAGCAGAGGGAGTCATGGACTGCACACCTGGAAGACCCCTGCTCACCTCCACTTCCTCTTCCTCCTTACAGACGAATGGCTGGCGACTTCCCATCTCCAACGGACCTCCCTCCTTGCCCGCTCTGCCACGACTGGACAATAACAATGGCTCGGCCCTTGTGATTGGCCAGCAGGTGCAGTGGGGTGGAGGAGGACGGGCTAATGGTTACAGTGGAGTCCAGGTCCAGTCCTCTGACCCTAGTGGCCCCTCTGAGCAGGACGAGGTCATCTCCTGTCCGGGCTGCTGTCTGGTGGGTCTGAGTTTTCCCTCTGTGTGCCTCCGTGGTTCAGCTGCCGTGCCTACTCCCCGCCGAAGGGCTTCGTTACCACGGCAGCGACCCTACCGGAACCTCAACGGCACCATAACTGGTGGCAGTGCTTCCTCATCAACAACAGCCGCCACGGCAACCAAAGCTCTACTGTGTCGCAGCACAAATGGACTAGTAGTGGGTGGGCCTACGGTGCCATGTGAGCCTGGGCGGTCCCTGCCAGAGGCCCAGACATAAGCCTGCTCACTGGGGATTTGGTTTTGAACTTGCGACATGCACCGGTACTAAATGTTAGCGGACAAACATAGCAACACAAACGGTCGCTATGCTAACACCAAGAACCCAATACTGACCCCAGCCTCTGAGACGTGTTGTTAATTCTGTGCAGTCACAGCAAACAGTTGGTGACTAGGGTGCCACCTGGTGGGCTGGAGGATTAAACACAACAAATCGCTGTGACGGTGAAGAACACGGTGGTGTAACGGAAGAGGTGGCTAAAGCAGGCAGAATACGGCTGAACATTGAACAGTCAGGGTCAACAACACGTTACTGCCGCTGGAATGGTGCTAATCCAAACAGAGCAGCTAGTCTGATGCACAGTGATGCTCGTCCCAATTTTTCTGAACCAAATCAAACTGAACTCAACTGTGCTGGCTTCAAATCTGGAGGCTGTCGCATGGGGAAAAAAAGGTGTGTGGCTGATTTAAGAAGCTAAGTCTAAGCATACTTGTGGTTCATTACAACGTGGGTCTTATTTTGGTAGTCTTGGCCATTGTTTCTATCAGTAATAATAACATTGTACTCACCAAGTTAACTGCTGAGGTCTGTGAACACGTGACAGTGGACACTGGTCACTTTTGGTTTTGCCTCAGAATGTATTGATGGCCTGACTGCTCGTGTTTGTTACCACGTATGGTTTCATTGTATTGCAGTGATTAGTTCAGTGCCGGTTCAAAACGTGCCTGTTCAGAACGGGCCGTCTGTTTGGCCTGTGGTATTGCTGGTTGCTGCTTTCTCGAGAACCACTCAAACAACTTCACACTCAACACTGCGTCTCCTTGGGTGCTGAGCAATACACCTGGTCCCCCACAGCTACAGATTTATTATAAGTTTAGATATGAAAAACATTGAATTATGATGCTATCCTAACTCATTGCACCCTGAAACAACACGCAAAAAGCCCCAAAGCACTTAAAAAATATGCAACTCAATGATACACTACTTATTTACTGAGAACCTCAGAGGAAAAGATTACACTACTACATGTACCCTGACAGAGACCTGTTACTGGTTATGTTTCAGGTACAGATTCAATACATTTAAGGACATTGTGAGGTAATGCTTCGCTTTCACTCTTCACTTCAAATAAAAATTTGAATGCAGGACTTTTACAACACGGTATCAATAGTTTTACAATCACAACTTAATAATTTTACCTCCAAAAAAAAAGTTCATTCTTCTTCTATCACTGCCAATACCAACATTCCTGATCCCACTCACAAGGTCTGCCCCTGAAAAATCCATCGCAGCTACTCATGATCAGAAACACTAGTGAAATACACTCAGTGGAGTTATTAATATCTAAATAGGCGGACTAGTTGCTTGCTTTGACATAACCACCACAATTTTAAAGTAGAGCAAGGTATTTTGTCAGGTGTAAGGCGTCATAAACATTGGTGAAATGCACTTAGCGAGACATTTCGACTTTGCAGAGCCCTGAAACCCTGCCCCCACTGCTGCACAGTTCACTTGTTTATTCAGAGTTTATTAATACTGAATGTGTCGCTTATCAAATTTGACAGTTCACATCCCTGCGCCCCCAGCAATACACCTGTGAAGTGTGAAGTTGATTAGATGGACAGTTCTCGAGATATGGAAAGGAAACACAGACAGCTTTATCGTTAGATTTCACCGTGTTCCCAGTTCTCAGCAATAACTTAAGTAAGTATAGATATAGATAATGGCCCACACTACAAAAATAAGTTAAAAGATGAGGATGAGGATTGTCCTTTAATTTGTACAGTGCTTTTTGGCAAAGGTGGTGGGAGGAGAGAACCTTTTGTAATTCATTGCCCCTCCCTTTATGGAGGAAGTTTAGGAGGAATAAAAACTCTTTTGTTTTGCATGGCGGTGCCGGCAGCGGCGCTCTGCAAGCCCACAACTGATGGAACACTGCTGCACTGCACTGTTAATCCCAGGTTGTATAGGGACACATGTAAAGCACAGTGTGGCTGCTGGTTCATAACTGTATGTGAAAACACTGTTTTTAATTCTATTTAACTGATTAACAGTAGCTACAGGGGGAATATTTATAAAATGAATAAAGATGATTTACTTCTGACATTTTTATAGCAGTTGAACTGTGTGTGTGTGTGTGTGTGTGTGAGAGAGGAGCTGATATCTGTTGCTTTGGGGGACTTATCCTGGGCTTGTCATGTAAATTCTTTATTTTTGCACTTCAGTTCAGAGCACTTTGCAGTAAGACACCAGGCTTTTACTAAACGGTGCTTTATTTAAATCTGTGCTACTGGTGTTTTATATATATGTGTGTGTGGGTGTATGTGAGTGTGTGTGCGTGCGTGCGTGCGCTACTGGCCCAACAAACTACAAACCTTTCACCCTTTGACATCTGCTCCCCCTCACATGTATCTCGTGTGTCTACATGTGCATTTTGATTACACTGTTGTAACTTAAAAAGTGGTATGTGAAGCAGGTATGCGTATTTATTGTACAGATCATTCCACACACTGTGTGTGTATGTGCTTTTGAGCAAAAGGTAGAGTGATGGATACTCGCAGGATAACTTTTATCCCGTCATTTCTGATGTTGAACTATGATCTCGCTTCATTTCTATGTTCTGTTCTTCTATACAGCTAGAAACCTGCGTGCAATAATCTGGTAATAAACAAATATGGTTGTGCATAACCCACTGTGCTGTTTTTAATATTTTTTTTCTTTAACATTTACTACATGGGTGAAAGTGAAACGGTACTTACCTGGTGAGATGGTGAGTATGTGTATGTGCGTAAAGAAAAAAGGCAATCACATGAGATTTATTAAATCGGTTAATTGAAATATAATTATAACTAACTATATTTTCATTTCTGAATACAAATACTCGTCTTGACAAAACCACCATGCTGTCCATCATATTTAGCTATCACTGTAGCAGAGGAGAAGAAGATACTTTATTCATTTTTTTCACTCTGTTGTCATATACACACAGGCCCGAAATACACACACATGCACAAACAGAACCTATACATGCATTAAATATAGAAATGTCAGAGCAAGGGGCAGCCTTGGACAGCAGTTGGGGGTTTGGTGTTTTGCTGAAGAGCACATTGGCAGTGCCCAGGAGGCAAACTGGCACCTCTCCAGCTACCAGTCCATGCTTCGTCCTTGGTCCAGACAGGGACTTAAACCTGTGACCTTCCGATTCCCAACTCAAGTCGCGATGGACTGAGCTACTGCCGCCAGGAGTGTGGTACATACTGAATATAACTGAATCACTATGTGCCAAAAAATCACAACATACACACCTAATTCGTAACTTAAAAGCCAGATAATAGAGTTAAATGTGTGAATAATTGACGTCTTTGACTATAAAAAAATGCTACTAAATAAAATAATATTAAAAGTTTTCTTTTGATTGATTCATCAGACGACACACTGCCTCAGTCTTTATGTAGCTTGTCTCATACTGACAATACCAGCAACAATAAAAGGATTGTAATTAAAACTGAAATAACCAAAAAGTACCTTACCTTACCTTAACTTTATGAAATCTTAATAATAAATAACAAGCTAAATTTTAGATACATTTTGACAATGTTTGACATTAAAATGGATGAAAATGACTTAATAGATTAACCGAGCCAGGCTGCAGCATCTCCAAAGAAAAATGATAAAGTGCAATAGGAGCTGAATTTGTTCCTGGAAAACATACACTACATGTTACACTTTAGAGATTAAAAACTAAATGGAAAAATGGAGAAATCTGTTCTCCAACCAGGCACCATGAACTCTTAAAAACCCTACATGCAAACACAAGACCTCTCAGTGAACTTGTCTACTCTTATCTACAGCACGAAGCTCTGCAGAAACTAACATTCTTATTCCGGTACCACAACATACCACAAAACCTCTTCCTGAGGTATAACCTGAAAACATTTCTATCCTCGCTTGCAGCCGTCAGCAGCTCTGCAACAAACTTTTACTTCCACAAAAGGAAATACCACAAAAACATGTGCTGCAACTCACACATTCTTATCACCTGTATGATATAACCGTAAAATACAAAAATCTAAAAGCCACAGAAAGAACTGTGGGTGCCTGTGATGCAGATCTGCTGCCCTCATTAACCTCAAGAGAGCAAAGACAGTACCCCTTTAAAAATGGGTCAGACAGGCTGTTAACACTCACCAGCTGTGAGTCTAGACAGAACACTGTTATTCAACAATACGTTGGGTTTATATTACCGCAGGACATTTCCAACAAATGTAGTTTCATTTTCATTCTAAAGGGGGAATGGTTTCCTGCATTAAGCTGCCATTTCTTGTAAATGGTGGAGGGAGGGGTGAGCAGAGGGTGAGGCAAGGCGTTATCAGAGGAGCTTTAGGAGGAGGATACAAGAGGATATAGACACTCATGTCAGATAAACAGCAGACTCTTTTACAGCTACAGTTGAAACCAGAAGTTTACATACACTATATAAAAAGGCACATAACCTTTTTTTTCTCACCGTCTAACATTAAATCAAACTAAACTTTTCCTGTTTTTGGTCAATTAGGATTACCAAAATTATTTCTATTTGCTAAATACCAGAATAATGAGACAGATCATTTTTTAGACAATTTTTTATTACTTTCTTGAGAGTCAGAAGTTTACATACACTAAGATTAGTATGCCTTTAAACAATTTGGGAAAGCCCACATGATGATGTCATGTCTTTGGAAGCCTCTGATAGGTTTATTGACAACATGTGGGTTAATTAGAGGCACACCTGTGGAACACACTGCTTCTTTGTGTAACATCATGGGAAAATCAAAAGAAATCAGCCAAGACATCAGGAAGAGAATTGTGGACTTGCACAAGTCTGGTTCATCCTTGGGTGCAATTTCCAGATGCCTGAAGGTGCCACGTTCATCTGTTCAAACACCATGGGAATGTCCAGCCATCATACCGCTCAGGAAGGAGACGGGTTCTGTGTCCCAGAGATGAACGTGCTTTGGTCCGAAATGTGCACATCAACCCAAGAACAAAAGCAAAAGACCTTGTGAAGATGCTGGCTGAAGCTGGTAAGAGTGTGTCATTATCAACAGTGAAACGAGTCCTGTACCGACATGGGCTGAAAGGCCACTCTCCCAGGAAGAAGCCATTACTCCAAAAGAAACATAAAAAAGCCAGATTACAGTTTGCAAATGCACACAGGGACAAAGACCTTAATTTTTGGAGACATGTCCTGTGGTCTGACGAAACTAAAATTGAACTTTTTGGCCATAATGACAATCGTTACATTTGGAGGAAGAAGGGGGAAGTTTGCAAGCCTAAGAACACCATCCCAACTGTGAAACATGGGGGTGGCAGCATCATGTTGTGGGGTTGTTTTGCTGCAGGAGGGACTGGTGCACTTCACAAAATAGATGGCATCATGAGGAAAGAACATTATGTGGACATACTGAAGCAACATCTCAAGACATCAGCCAGGAAGTTAAAGCTTGGGCGCAAATGGGTTTTCCAAATGGACAATGACCCTAAGCATACTGCCAAACTGGTTAGAAAGTGGCTTAAGGATAGCAAAGTCAATGTTTTGGAGTGGCCATCACAAAGCCCTGATCTCAATCCTATTGAAAATTTATGGGCAGAGCTGAAAAGGCATGTGCGAGCAAGGCGGCCTACAAACTTGGTTCAGTTACACCAGTTCTGCCAGGAGGAATGGGCCAAAATTCCTGCAAACTATTGTGAGAAGCTTGTGGAAGCATATCCAAAACGTTTGACCCAAGTCATACAGTTTAAAGGCAATGCTACCAAATACTAATGAAATGTATGTAAACTTCTGACTCTCAAGAAAGTAATAAAAAATTGTCTAAAAAATGATCTGTCTCATTATTCTGGTATTTAGCAAATAGAAATAATTTTGGTAATCCTATTTGACCAAAAAACAGGAAAAGTTTAATCTGATGTGTTAGACAGTGAGAAAAAAAGGTTATGTGCCTTTTTATATGGTGTATGTAAACTTCTGGTTTCAACTGTATATGGAAGATCATGGTTCATAACTTTTTGATAATTTTCCAGTAATTTCCAAGTCGTTTCATAGAAAGGACCATGTGCTGTATTTTGGCACTATGTAAAGGGAAATTCTAAATTACTGTTAGTGTGACCGAGAGAGTTTTAAAGTCAGTACACAGCTACACACATAACAATGTGAATTCTGTCTACAGGCATGAATATAATGCAACATGAAAAACGTAGTATAAGTAGAAGTATTGAAGGGGAACTTCCTATGATCTGAGACAGTCCAAAAACATATGTTAACATGAACAACTCTCTCCCAAAACCAAAAGCTAAAGTGCTAAAACTCAAATTAGTGATGTCACTGAGTGTGAAGTCTGCAGCTGCTCCATGCACAGTGAATTGGGTAAGTTTTCAAGGGCACATCAAAGGGCAAGCCAAAATCTCAAGGCACACCTGTATTTATATCTGTGCACAATAGCTTCTATAACATTTGTTATCACTCTTATCACGACATAATACAATGAAAATAAGGAAAAACAGCTCTTGTGATACTGTCGCCTGACTATCTTTGTTGTCATTTTCTCCGTGCAATAAAGCGATCCATTGTCCCACTCATGGCTTTCTCCTTTGAAATGTTATCAGCGACCAATAAGATCCCTTAGTTAGGAGATGGGTGCACACAACATACTGATGCAGTCAGTTAAAAATTAATTCATGATTTATTGTACAGACCCAATTGAATATTGCAATAATAATGTGTGGTTATTACAAAACCCCACGGCACACATGGATTAGCATAATGGCTCACCAGTGTGTCACGGCACATCAACACTGTTCCAGATCACTGCTTCCCAACCTGGGGGTCTTGACCTCGGTTAGGGGTCGCTAAAGCTTCACAGTGGACCTTTTTATCTCAAGGGGTTGATGGACTAAGAGTCTCATCCTACTCTCTAATGTGCTATGTGTGAGCTCAGTCCTGCGTGTTCTTTAATGAAGCAATAGGAGAAGATATTCGGTCTCAGTTAATGTAGTTTATTAAGCAGTAAAGGAATAAAATTACAGAGCTCTGAGTCTCAACTTCACGTCCCTGACGAACAACAAAGGTGTGTCAGTTCACGAAGTCTGACCTCCTGTCCTTTCCCTGACCCAGTATATTTGAGCGTAACAGAGTGTCATTGTGCACGCAAGGCGTTGTCCTCTTCTCATTGGCAGTTCCACTTCCTCCTTCACCACACCACGCCCCTGCCTCGTGTTAATCTGACTCCTTCCCGCTGGCGGTGGGGGCGTGGTTCCTGTTTTGAAAGACAAGAGAACAACACAACTCCCTACACGTGCTGTACCTTACTATCTGTATATCACTTTCTATTCTTTTTACCATATATGAAACTAATACAAACGTGAATACAAACACTTACAGGATAAGGGCACAGTGAAGACCTCAACACAAGCTACACTCACAGAGCCTTCACTCTCTGTTAAACAGCCTCATCCTACGTTAGAAAAGTATGCACTTAAACCCCCCCCCCAAAGAGCTAATAGAACAATGGCCAAGCAAAACATTGAATTTATCAAAAAAAGAAGCCTATTAAGCACGTATGATTGTGATAAAAATACATAATGTAATACACACATTTAATCTGGTCAAAATTAATCCAAAATGCTCACTTTACACAAACTTCCTGCAGTTA